TATCAGGCTCATTTGACAAATACTATTCACTTCTGAACTGCACTGAGAGTATGTTTTCAGATTCCAGAGCTTGAGAAACCTACCTTGTTCCCAGTCTTAGTCAACGATGGGGAATTTGTCAGCATATTGCATGTTAGGATAAAATGCAGAAGGCTGTCTGGTAATTGTGCTTTCCCATCTCTTATTCTGACTAATGCTCTGATGCCCTTGTTTAGCTCTGTTGTACCCTGGGGATCAGTATTAATCTCCAGCCTCCCTGGCTGGTTTGTCCTGGCTTGGAATTAGTACAGCTCTGACACCAAGGACAGCAGTAAGGGTGTGCGTGAGAACTAACACCCACATTCCTTTATGGTGCCCTTGGGTATGTGAAGCAGTGCAAGTGGCTGGCATCATTCTGGAGGTTATTGTACATACTAGTTGACTGGTACGATTGCTGTTGCAAGATGGTCTCTATTCCTGGAGCTAGAGGAATCTCTAGCTTTTTAATGCCTAACAGACTACATCAGCATGTAGCAGCAGGAGAACACTGAGTGGAAGTAAGGACGTGGCATTATTTCTTTATATGGCAGTAATGAGACCATTACTAGCTACTGTGTCTAGTTCTGCTGTCTGCAATTCGAAAGTACGTTGACTGATTGGAAAGGGTTCAGAAGAGAGCTACCAGAATGGCTGGAGGTCTGGAAAACCTGCCTCAGTGAGAGACTAAAGAAGCTCAATGTACTTAGTTTATCCAAGAGAAGGTTAAGAGGTGATGTGATCATGGTCTACATGGGGAAGACATTTCTGATAGTAGAGGGCTCTTTAATCTTGGAGCTAAAGGCAAAACAAAACACACAGGTTGGAAGCTGAAGCTAAACAAATTCAAACTGGAAATAGGGTATTTTTTACAGTGAGGGTATTTAATCACTGGGACAACTTGCCTAGGGACATGGTGGATTCTCCATCACATTGAAGTCTTTAAATCAACGCTGGATATTGGTCTAAAAGTCAGAAGTTGTGGGCTTGATGCAGAGTTTATTGGATGAGGTTCTTTGTCCTTATGTGTTTTCCCTCCCGTATGTTGTTGTCCCTGCTGCTGTCTTCTGCCACCTGCCAGATTTTCATGAGAAGGCTGAAGATGGACAAATGGCTCATATAAACTCTGCCAATGTATCCCTTCTGCTAGGCAGCAACAGGAGTAACAAGAGCCAGGTTCAACAGAACATCAGGAGTCCCTTTTAAAATAAATAAAATGGTCAGCTCAAGCCCCACCTGACACCTTGTTCATGTCCAGTTTTTAGAAATTTATAATCTAACCATCGGGACCCTCTTACAGGTGATTTTTCACCACTTCCGAGCACAGGGGAGTCCTGGAAATAGGAAACAGGAATCTTTTTTATTTGGTAAACAAGATAGACGTTCCTTAACACAACAAAATAAAATTAGCCAAACCACAAAGTATATATGAAGGGCATGGCCAACTCCATGGGCTCAGTTATTAATTCCCTGGCCTTTTGGGGGGCCTGAGACTTTACTGAAATGCAGTCCCCTCAACCAGGCCAAGCTGGGGCTAGTCTGCTCACCCATGTCCAGTTCCCTGACATCAACTCCACAAGGGTCCAGAAGCCTGGGCTGGAAGCCAGCACAAAGCAAGACACCCAGTGTCTGTCTTTCTCCTGTTCATCTTGGGCTCACTACTGAATCCAAGCCACTATCCATCAGCTCATGGTGACCCATTTCTCCCAGCGTATCCACTTCACACTTCATATAACTGTAACCATTTATACAGTTATATGGCACTGTTTCTCAGAACAGCCCACAAGTAAACTACAGAAATGCAGTATAATAGGCTGTACTTGGCAGTGGTGGTTCAATTTTAATTCCTTGATAAGGTGTCATTTTCCAGTGAATTTACTGCACTATATTTTGTAAAATTAATGAACTCTTAGTAATCTGAGAGGAGACCTCTCTCCAGATTTGTGTCTGTGTCTTAGATGCTTGCAAATGATAAAGGGACACATTGTGATTTGAAGGTATTGGTTCAATATACAGTCCCCTCCACATGCACTGTGTGGAGGGGATGGACCATGGCTCCACCTCTTCCTCACCCTCTCTGTGGTAGGTATGGAGATATTAGTAGAGAACCCTACTTAGACAAGTTAGATGTCTTCCAGTCAGCAGGGCCTGATGAATTACACATTAGAATACACAAGGAACTGGTTGAAGAGATCTCTGAGCCATCAGCGATTATCTTTGAGAACTCATGGAGGATGGAAGAGATACCAGAGGACTGGAAAAGGGCAAATATAGTACCTATCTATAAAAAAGGGAATAAGGACAATCCAGGGAATTATAGACCAGTCATCTTAACTTCAATACCCAGAAAGATAATGGAACAAATGATCAAACATTCTATTTGTAAGCACCCAGAAGAAAATAAGTTAACAGTCAACGTGAATTTGTTAAGAATAAGTTATGTCAAACCAAACTAATATCTTTGTCAAGGTAACAAGCCTTGTGGACAGCGGGGAAGCAACAGATTTCATATATTTTGACTTCAGTAAGGCTTTTAATGTGGTCTCTTACTACCTTCTCATAAACAAACTAGAGAAATATAGCCTAGATGAACCTACTATGAGGTGGGTGCAGAACTGGCTGGAAAACCATATTCAGAGAGCAGTTACCAATGGCTCACAATTGAGCTGGAAGGGACCTGCAAGGATCTGTCCTATGTCCAGTACTATTTGATGTCTTCATAAATGATTTGGATAATGGCATAGAGAGTACACTTTATAAAGTTTGTGGATGATACCAAGCTGGGAGGGGTACCAAGCGCTCTGGAGGACAGGATTAGATTTCAACATGATCTTGATAAACTGGAGAAATGGTCTGAAGTAAATAGGATGAAGTTCAATATGGACAAATGCAGAGTACTAAACTTAGGAAGGAATAATCAATTGCATAAATACAAAATGGGAAATGACTCCTAAGGAAGGAGTACTGCAGAAAGGGATGTGGGGGTTATAGTGGATCACAAACTAAATATGAGTCAACAATGTAATTCTGTTGCCAAAAAAAAAAAAAAAAAGTGATCATTATGGGACGTATCAGGAGTGTTATAAACAAGAAGTAATTTCTTCCACTGTACTCAGTACTGATAAGGCTTCAACTGGAGTATAGCATCCAACCCTGGGCTCCACACTTCAGGAAAGATGTGGACAAATTGGAGAAAGTCCAGAGCAGAGCAAGAAAAATTATTAAAGGTTTAGAAAACATGACTGACAAGGAAAGATTGTAAAAATTTGGTTTGTTTAGGCTGAAGAAGAGAAGACTGAGGGGGGACATAAGTCTTCAAGTATGTAAAAGGTTGTTATAAAGAGGAGGATGATAAATTGTTCTCTTTAACCCCTGAGGACAAAACAAGAAGCAATGGGCTTAAATTGCAGCAAGGGAGATTTAGGGTAGACATGAGGAAAAAATTCCTGACTGTAAAGGTGGAAAAGCACTGGAACAGGTTATCTAGGAAGGTTGTGGAATCTCCATCTTTCATTGGAGGTTTTTAAGAACAGATTAGACAAAAACCTGTTAGAGATGGTCTACTCTAGATAATCCTGCCGCAATGCAGGGACTGGACTAGATGATTTATCAAGATCCCTTCCAGGCCTACATTTCTGTGATTCTAACCCAGGTAAGTGCAAGGAGAATTGGGCCTGAGAAAATATTCATATTTTTCTCCCTCCTCCTTGTAACAACCTTATATGTACTTGAAAACTGTTATGTCCCACCTCAGTCTTCTCTTCTCCAGACTAAACAAACCCAGTTTTTTCAATCTTCCCTCGTAGGTCATGTTTTTTAGACCTTTAATCATTTTTGTTGCTCTTCTCCTGAACTTTCTCCAATTTGTCCACCTCTTTCCTGAAATGTGGTGCCCAGAACTGGCCACAGTACACAATACAATAATTGCTAGCTTGTATTTATACAAACATTGTGTTTCTGCATCCTCCTCAGCCCACCGCACTGAGGATGCTGAGACAGAAAACAAATTTGTATGAAGGGCTCGGCATATTTGTAAATTTGTATATAGGAATAATTGATGAGGAGGATGATTTGTTTCTGTTTCTGTTGCACACACAGTGCACTTTCCAAACACAATCCCTGCCCGGAAGAGCTCAACCCAAAAAGGCAAAGGGCAGGGAAAAAGGGCATAACCTCTAGTAAAGTGGGTAAGATGGTAATTTGTCACATTGTTGTTAAAACATTTCGTTAACCACAGTGATTTTTATTTAATGCTATTTCTGTACTGTTCCCATATGACTACACTCTGTCCTGGATTTAACCTGGAATTGATGAGCTTCTGTAGTTTGCACACTGAGCTCATTTTTTCTGAGGTCAGTATGTGGTTGGGTTTTATATAAAACAGTTAAATAAAATTGAATTTTAAGACAATAATAGTTAATTAGTGTTTGCCAAAGTCAGAAATACAGTTCTTGGCTCAGGCTCGGCTAGGGAATGGACATGAATCACAAGGAGTTTTCAGAGTGAGGTTGATGGCTTTGATTTGTTGGGAGGGCCCATTGGTTGAATTGGACCCAGGTCCAAATAAGCGGTAATCCATCCTCAGTCCTTGAGGAAATAGTGGCTATTAAGCAAATCTCAGACAGTGTTAATGGAAAGTGAATTTTAAAACAACAACTTAGCGTTCACTCTGGAAACCTGATTCTAGGTGTTCCCTTCCTCCTATTGGAGAACAGAAACATGCCATGTGATCTGTGTGTCTAATCAGAACTTATCAGAACTGCTGGGAAGGTGACTCTTGAATACCCATAGCAAACTGCTCACAAAACTGCAACAGCAGATTAGTCACAGAAAGTACTCAGCAAATCAGCTAACTAGGGACAGGATTTGAGTGAATCGGTAGCTGCTCATAGCCACTTTGAATGCATGATAAAAGGCGAGATCTGCCTGACCAATGAACGGCATGGACTCCTTCCAAACTCAATGATCTCTTCCCTTTTCCTCAGGCCTGAGGACTGAGACAGGAAGATGTCTGAAGTGCGGCGTGACAGCACGAGCAGTTTACAGCGGAAGAAGCCGCCATGGCTCAAACTCGACATACCGGTGCCCATCTCTGTGGCAATGCCTGAGGAGCCCACCTTTGTGCAGGTACTGGTATGAGTAATGTACAAAGATCGGGGAGGGGGCATAAGGAATGAATATGTGAGTTCAATGTAGTCTGTACGCACAATGGGAAGGGATTTGGATGCTTAGAGCTTTGGACTCTACTGTGTTGAGAGCCTGTTTGCATTATATGGTCTAGGGATACTTTATTATATGGCATTATATGGTCTAGGCCTCCTAGATACAAAACAGGTAGGGCATATTAAATGGTTATTAAGTTACAGGGTAAGGATGGAAACGAGAGCTTCATTTAAGTCAGGTGATCTGAATTGTACCTTCCAACAGACAAAGGGAGGCAGAAGGTGGGTTGTCTGGAAAGAAAAGATGAAGAGTAAGTGGAGTGTTAACATGTCAGTATGCCAGGAGCATGGGAAATCAGCAACAACCCAGTGGATCCTAAGAGCCACACAATGGACTACAGTACCAGGGAGAATGAAAAAATGGGAATGGGGCGGTTACATATATATCAAGGGCAGAGTAGGAACTGGGAAGAAAGTAGCTCCATTAATAAGTGAGGAAGGGATGAAATTAACAATTCATAAATAGCTGATAGTGAACTCTTCTTTTTAAACTTGTCTTCAACAACAACAAAAATAGTGAGAAGGTGTTTAGTACAGGAAGTAAGGTAGGAATAGCCTGTACAATAACTATTGATAAAAGGCAGTTAAGAATTAAATACGTAATAAGTTCCATATGGTGAAGCTGGCATCTATTATCCCCTCCCTTCCCCATGGAGCCTGGTTTGCAGCTCTTGATATGAAGGACGTCTATGTCCACGTCGACATTCACCCAACCCACTGGAAATTTCTCCCTTTCCGGGTAGAACTACACCACTACCAGAATGGTATTTAGTCATTATTTAACTGCATCACATTGTTGGCTTATATTCAAATTGTGATCCACTATCACCCCAGACCCTTTTCAGAAGTACTACCACCTAACTAGTTATTCCCCATTTTCTATTTGTGCATTTGATTTTTTCTACCTAAATTCAAAGTACTTTACTTATCTTTATTGAATTGCATCTTGTTGAATTCAGAACAATTCTCCAATTTGTCAAGGTCATTTTGAATTCTAATTCTGTTTTCCAACGTGCTTGCAACTCCTCCCAGTTTGGCGTCATCTGCAAATTTCATAAGCATACTCTCCACTCTATTATACAGGTCATTAATGAAAATATTGAATAGTACCAGACCCAGGACTGACTTTTCTGACATCCCATTAGATATGACTTTTTGGTTTGACAGTGAACCATTGATAACTACTCTTTGCGTACAGTCTTTCAACCAGTTGTGCCCCCACTTTATAGTAACTTCATCTAGAATGCATTTCCTAGTTTGCTCAAGAGAAAGTCATGTGGAACTAATCTCCATGCTTGAATAATAAGAGTATAGAAGTAGGGAATGTTCTATCGACCACCTGACCAGAATGGTGACAGTGGTTTGTGAAATGCTCAGGGAGATCAGAGAGGCTACAAAAACAGAAAACCCAATAATAATGGTGGATGTCAACTATTCCCTTATTGACTGGGTACATGTACCTCATGCAGAGATAAAATTTCTAGACACCTTTAACAATTGCTTCTTGGAGCAGCTAGTCCAGGAATGCACAAGGGGAGAGGCATTTTTGATTTAGTCCTAAGTCATGGAGTCCTAAAGTACACAGGATCTGGTCCAAGAGTTGAAAATAGCTGAACTGTTCGGTAACAGTGAATATAATGTAACTAAATTTAATGTGCTTGTAGGGGGGAAAATGCCAATGAAACCCTCCACAGTAGCATTTAACTTCAAAAAGGGCAACTACCTAAAAATGAGGAGGCTAGTTTAAAAAAAATTAAAAGGAACAGTCACAAGAGTGAAATGCTTGCAAGCTGCATGGAAAATATTTTAAGATACCATAATAGAGGCTCAAACTGAATATATACACCAAATAAAAACAACAAAAAACCAGTAAGAGGACCAAAAAATGCCCCTGTGGCTAAACAACATAATTAAAGAGGTGGTTAGAGGCAAAACGGCATCCTTTTAAAAATTGGAAGTCAAATCCTAATGAGGAAATTAGAAAGGAGCATATACTCTGGCAAGTCAAGTGTAAAAATGTAATCAGGCAGGCTGAAAAAGAATTTGAAGAGCAACTAGCAAGACGCAAACGAAAGCAACATTTTTTTTTAAGTACATCAGAAGCAGGAAGCCTGCCAAACAGCCAGGGGGCCACTGGATGATCCAGGTGCTAAAGGAGCACTCGAGGAAGACAAGGCCATTGTGGAGAAGCTACATGAATTCTTTGCATCTGTCTTCACTGGAGGGGCTGTGAGGGAGATTCCTTAGGTGACAAATCTGAGATACTGTCCCAGATTGAGGTGTCAATAGAGGAGGTTTTGGAATAAATTAAACGGTAATAAGTCCTTTGGACCAGATAGTATTCACCCAAGAGTTCTGAAGGAAATGCAGATATGAAATTGCAGAACTACTAGCTGCAGTATGTAACCTATTGCTTAAATAAGCCTTTGTACTAGATGCCTAGAGGATATCTAATGCAAAGCTGATTTTTAAAAAAGTGTCTAGAGGTGATCCTAGCAATTACAGGCCGGTAAGTCTAACTTCAGTATGAGGGAAATTGGTGAAACTATAGGAAAGAACAGAATTATCAGACGCATAGAGGAACATGATATTTGAGGAAGAGTCAACTTGGCTTTTGTAAAGGAAAATCGTGCCTCATCAAATCTATTAAAATTCTTAGAGAGGATCAACAAATGTGGACAAGGATGATCCAGTTGATATAGTGTACTTGAAGTTTCAGAAAGCCTTTGACAAAGTCCCACACCAAGGGCTCTTAAGCAAAGTAAGCTGTCATGTGATAAGAGGGAAGATCCTTTCCTGGATCAGTAACTGGTTAAAAGATAGGAAACAAAGGGTAGGAATAAATGGTCAGTTTTCACAATGGAGAGAGGTAAATAGTGATGTCCCCCAAGGACATATTCATAAATGATCTGGGAAAGGGGGTAAACAATGAGGTGGCAAAGTTTGCAGATGATACAAAATTACTCAAGATAGTTAAGTCCAAAGCAGACTGAAGAGTTACAAATGGATATCACAAAATTGGGTGACTGGGCAACAAAATGGCAGATGAAATTCAATAATGATTAATGCAAAGTAATGTTAATTGGAAAACATAATCCAACTATACATACTAAATTAGCTGTTATCACTCAAACTGTGATCTTGGAGACATCACGGCTAGTTCTCTGAAAACATCTGCTCAATATGTAACAGCAAACCCAAAAGCTAACAGTGTTAGCAACCATTACGAAAGGGATCGATAATAAGACAGAAAACATAATAATGCCGCTATAGACATCCATGGTAACCCACACCTTTACACTGCATGTGATTCCAGTTGCCCCATCTCAAAAAAGAAATATCAGAATTGGAAAAGGTACAAAGAGGGGTAACAAAAATGATTAGGGGTATGAAACAGCTTCCATATGAGTAGAGATTAAAAAGATTGGGATTGTTCATCTTAGAAAAGATGACAAAGGGGTGATACGATAGAGATCTATGAAATCATGAATGATGTGGAGAAAGTCAATAAGAAAGTATTATTTACCCCCACGTAACACGGGAACTAGGGATCACCCAATGAAATTGAATAGGCAGAAGGTTTAAGACGAACAAAGGAAGTACTTCACACAATGGAGAGTGAACCCGTGGAACTCATTGCCAGGGGATGTTGTGAAGGCCAAAAGTATAACTGGGTTTAAAAGGAATTAGAGAAGTTCATGGAGGATAGTCCAACTATTGGTCTTAGCCAAGATGGTTAGGGATGCAACCCTGTGCTCTCAATGTCCCTAAGCATCTGACTGCCAGAAGTTGAGTTTGGACAACAGGATGGATCCATTTGATAACTGCCCTGTTCTGTTCATTCCCTCTGAAGCATCTGGCATTGGCTGCTGTCACAAGGCGAAATGGACCAATGGTCTGACCCAGTGTGACCATTCTTATGTTCTTACAGTGTCAAAAGCCTTACTAAAATCAAGAAAGACCATATTTACTGCTTTTCCTCTATCCACTAGGCTATTAACCCTTTCAAGGAAGGAAATTAGGTTGGTTTGGTATGATTTGTTCTTGACAAATCCATGCTGACTATTCCTTTCATAACCCTGTTATCCTCTGATTGTTTAATAATTTGTTCCACTATCTTTCTAGGTATTGAATTTAGGCTGTCTGGTCTATGATTCCTTGAGTCCTCTTTGTTCCCCTTTGTAAAGACAGGTACTATGTATCCTCTTCTCCAGTTGCCTGGGACCTGACCTGTCCTCCCATGAGTTTGCCAAAGATAATTGCTAATAGATCTGAGATCGCTTCAGCTAGTTCCTTGAGTACTCTAAGATGAAATACATCAGGTCCTGCTAACTTGAATACATCTAACTTATCTAAATATTCTTTAACCTGTTCTTTCCCTATTTTGGCTTTTGTTCCTTCCCCCTTGTTGTTTTAATGTTAATTGTGTTGAGTATCTGGTCACTGCGAGAGAGCAAAGGGAGTGAAGGAGCTGCCTGCAGAATCCTGGGCCAGGCTTGCTAAATGAGCCAGTTGGAGACAACTGTTGCAGGGAAGGAACCTCAAGCAGCTGGTTCCTTCTGAGAGAGCTGAAGCAGTTCTGTGGGGAGAGACTGACACTTGAGAAGCTGCAAGTGAGTCAGCTTGTGTAGGGTAGATGCAAACTGATAGGAGAGGCTCTGTGAGGAAACCATTTCTGCCCCCAGGCTCTGAGGTAAGAGCCAGGCCTTGGAACAGATTTGTGGGGGGCTCTGTGAGTGAGTGGTAAAATTCCTTCTTTGTGTTTGCTTTTTTTGGAGCTTTGTAAAGAAAGAAACCAGACCCCAAGAAGGACTATATTTGGAGGAGAGAGACAGTGTGTGGTTTGTCCAAAGAGCCCTGAGAAAGGGGAAACGGGGGGGGGGGGGGCACTGCAGACATACCTATGGCCATGAGGGGGCGTTACAGTCATCATAACTTTTTTACTGAAGACTGAAACAGAATAGGCATTAAGCACCTCAGCTTTCTTCATGCCAGCCGTTATTAGCTCTCCTTCCCCACTAGGTAGAGGACCTACCCTTTCCTTCGTCTTAATCTTGCTCCTAATATATTTAAAGAACCTCTTCGTATTGTCTTTTATGTCCCCTGCAAGTTGTAACTCATTTTGTGCCGTAGTCTTTCTAATTTTGTCCCTACCTGCTTGTGCTGTTCTTAGCGATTCATCTGTGTTTCCACATTTTATAGAACTGTACTAAATGTACAGTTTGGACAGAATTCTGTGCAGTGCTGAGAGTGCCCCTCTAGGGAAGGCTGCGAGACATTCTCTATTTTAGGTCCTTAGTTTCACACACTCCCTTCTGGGCTGATAAAATGTGGAAACACAGATTATTTTGATTTTCAGGTAATTAAAATGCTTCTGATGGAGACATATTGGCCTCTTACTATTATTCCTATCTTTCCTTCACATTGGGATAATTTGCTGTTGTGCCTTTTATATTGTCTCCTTGAGAAACTGCCAACTCTCTTGAACTCCTTTTTCCCTTAGATTTTTTTCCCATGGGACCTTACCTACCACTTCTCTCAATTTGTTAAAGTCTGCTTTTTTTAAATCCATTGTCCTTGTTCTGCTGCTCTCACTCCTTCCTTTTCTTAGAGTCATGAAATCTGTCATTTCATGGTCACTTTCACCTATATTACCTTCTACCTTCAGGTTTGCTACCAATTCCTCCCTGCTGGTCAGAATGAAATCTAAAATTCTTGTGTCCCTGGTTACTTCCTCTGCTTTCAGAAACAAAAAGTTGTCCCCAGTGCACTCCAGGAACTTGCTGGAGATCTTGTGTTTTGCTGTATTACTTTTCCAACAGATGTCTGCGTACTTAAAGTCCTGTATTACTACCAGGTCTTGTGTTTTGGATACGATGGCAAAGTCCGTCTCCTCACTCATGTGACTAGTGCCCAGTTCTGGGGTTGCAGCGCTATGAGCCTGGGGGTGTGTAGGGAGAGAGGCCCGGACCATAAGTAACGCATCTTTCTCACCTACTCAGCACTGTGGCAAAGCCTAGAGCAGGGGCAGAAGCCTGGTGCAAGAGCTTTGCCACAGACCCGGCCAGTAGCACTTGTTAGCCCATGAGCTATTAGTGCCCTACAGAGAACAAACAGCCCTTGGCTAGGGAAGCTGCTATACTGTTGGTTCCTTTGTGTTTCATGTCCCTGTTGGGTTTTGCTAGGGAATGAATGTGCAGCATGAAGGCAGGGGCACTGAAATGCTCCCCACTTTGTTTTGCAGCCATTTAAACGCCAGGCCTTCCTGAGAAGCGTCAGCATGCCTGCTGAGAACACCCGCATCCCCTCCCCGCCAAACGAGGTGCGGCGGCCCATGCTACAACGACAGACCTCCATCACCCAAACCATCAGAAGGTAAGATGTGGCATATTGTGCACACAGAGACTGTTTTAAGAGGGAAAGGTGAAGGCCTTGGGATTTACTGCTGACAAGCCTCCTGGCTTCGTTTGCACTTTCTGAAGAGTTGCAGCAATTTCCTGCTGAGGATTCTGGATGTTGGAGTCCAAGGAGCAGTTTCCTCTACTAACGAGTGGTTTAGTTAGAACTGCTCCTGGGAGATCAGCGCTTGCCTACGTTGCTGCATTACGCTCTCCACCTTGCATTAGAAGTGCCTTATCATGATTTTTACTGAACAGAATATTTTCGGAGCGTTAGGACTGCCTGTTCGCTTTGACTTGGTCAAAGCCCTTCAGGAGATTATAGTGTTTGGGAAGATACTTCAAATCATTGCAAAGGGGGCAGGGTCATGGTTCTTGGGCTGCACACAGAGAAGCAGTATGTGCTAGCCAAAGAGCTTCTGTTGTCCTCCTGTGCCCCAAGCCCAGTCCCAGAGATCTCCTGGGGCCAGCAGCTCTACACCGTCCTTATTCAGGGCCATTTGCACTTGGCCCAGTATGACCTCAAGCTGCTGTTTTGCCAGAACCAATGGAAATGAAGGGCTTCCTTGGCTGAGATCCAGCTGCAGCTGGAGGGGCCATGGGCAACAGTTAGTTTGGACAGAATTCTGTGCAGTGCTGAGAGTGACCCTCTAGGGAAGGCTGCGAGACATACTCTATTTTAGGCCCTTAGTTTCACACACTCCCTTCTGGGCTGATGTGTTCTCGGCTTGGTCTCTGCCCAGAGGGAAGATCTTTGGAAAGTTTGAGCAAATTTCCTTTGGCTGCTTGTGTTTATGGCGTGTCAAACAATGCACTTCTTGCCTTGTGCAAGCAGTCTGACCATCCCTTTTGAAACGGCAGAACCAGCTGATGTCTGCCTGACGTCTGCTCGAAAGCTTCTCTCTCTCTCACCAGCAGAAGTTGGTCTAATAAAAGATATTACCTCACCTGCCTTGTGTGTCTGACATCTGTACAGCAGCCTGGCCCTGATGGTTCTTAGGAAGGTACATGTGCCTGGATGTGTTTGGGGAAAGAACCCTTGAAAATAGGCAGTTGTTGGAGAAGGAGGGAATCCGGCTGTGCAGACGTAGAGCAGGGGAGAGAGAGCTGCTCTGCAGCTGTTCCCATGGCATCTGCTTTCTTGGCTGCCACCTTTATGCACTTGGGACTTTTGGGGTTCTGGAGAACTTGGTGGGATGGTGTCTGCCCTCAGGACTGAGAGCAACCCCCTGCCTTGTTAGTGATGTCTGTATATTGGGGTAACATGCATCTGCATCCCCAACTGGTCCTGAAGCCCCAGGTCACATTAACAGGCAGAAGTGACTTTTCTGTCTGTATTAGGCATACTGATCCAGTTTCTCCCAGATGTGGCTATCTCCTTCCTGATCCCTGCCCTATGACTTTTGGCCTGGTTAATATTTATCATATTATAGTAGCTGCCAGAACTCCAGACAAAATTGGGGCCCCAGTGCTCTGGGTACCTGAACAAACGCAGTGTGAGACTTGCCCCATGGATGAACAACATGCACAGCTGAATGGTCCCCGCTCAGTTATACTCTTTTCCTAACTATCATTTTAAATAGTCCCCCCCCATTCCTGAAAATGTGACGTGGGGAACACGCTTGTACGTCTGGCTCTTGGGTGTGATGGATTTGATCCCCATCTCAATACTCCGCTAATGTGGTTCTGCTGGCTGTAAGGAGGTCATTCCCCACTTATGGGAGAGGAGCCTTCAGCTCCCTTGATGATGAGCTCCTCCCTCTGCATCTGCCCTTGGTGCCTGGGAGGCCACTGGGGCTTGGAGGGCAGCGGTGTCAGGTCTAACAGGGCAGAAAGTCCATTGATCAGTGTATGTTGGGATGTCTCTGGGGTTCACAGCCTGTTCATTCCCTAATCTCCTACCTACCCCCTCCCTGCCAACAATCACTTTCTCAGACCTCCTGAACAGCACAGAGAGTCCTGAACACCTGGCATTGGGCCAGGTTCATTGCTGCTCTGTGACCTTTGTAACAGCTAGACTGGCCATAGGGAAGGCATGAGCACCCTGCTCAAGAAATAGGGAATACACCATGGAGAAGGGGCCTGTGTCAGGCCCAATACCTGAACCACTACCTCGGCAGGAGCTCTGAGCACTGGGTGCATTCTGGGGGATAGGCCAGAGAAGTGAGGGGGGAAGTTGAGGTTGGGAGGCGGTTCGGCCGGCTCAGCCCTGAGCCCCAGCAATTCTGCACCCTTGTAATGGCCCATAGGGACCATTGCAACTGGGCACAAGTTAGGGCAGCCCCTAAATGGGGGAGGTACAGGCTGCCTCCCCTCTATCCTTGCATTAGCACAGCTGTGGGATGAATCTTCCCCCTGGTGCTGTTCAGAGGGGTGAGGGCTCCTTGGGCTTTGGAGGGGCTACAGCAGGTGCAGAATGGTCCCTGGATAGTGGAGAAGCTGCTCATGCTCCATTGAGGAGCTGAGGTCAGATGATCTGCTCATGCCAACAGTCCCTAGATCTGACTCTCTGGGCCTGGTCCTGGGCAGGGCATGCTTGGTGCTGGGTCTTTGGCTATTGATCTGACGGAGTTTGAGTCCTGCCTTTCTGGGCATGTTGGAAAATCCATTTACTCTCTCAGGCTGGGGGTAGCTGTGGGCTCTGCTTGGTAGCCTGGATCTGGCGTTGTGTCTCTGCTGTAGTGAACGTTTCTATTGTTTGTTTTGTGCACTGTTATTTTACAGCCCTGAGAAGTGCACAAGGCCCCTCCCAGTGCAACTGGAGAGTCACAATTCCTGGGTGGGTAAATGGCTCAGAAGTCCCATTTGCCTTCATGTCACGTACAGGAACTTTCGAAAATGTTCTCCTGCTCTGAAAAGGTGATTTCGAACATGCTGCAGTAAGACAATGTAGCTGTTCCACACAGGCTTGTACACAGCAGAGAGGGTCTGCTAAGGGCACTGCTTTTCTTTATGCCTTTTGGCAAGTCTCTTTGACTCATGGCTTGTAGATGGTCCACCAGATTCCTAAGGAATGGGGAATGGGTCTGGTGGACCAGCTTGGAAGGGTATTCCATGGGCAGGAGGGAGTTGTAGGAGATGCAAACGGGGCACTGAGGGTGGGAGAAAAGGGTGGGAAATGCTGTAATAGAAGACTAGGTCAGATAAGTAGGAAGGGCAAGACTAGAAATGTACATTTGATACAAAGAAGGTGGAGAGCCAGTCGAGAGATGCAAGGACGGGGTCTGATGAGCTGGCCAGAAAGATGATCTCAGCAGCTGTGTTGTGTGGACTGGGCAGCACTGTGTGTATCAGGGAGTCTGCAGACATTAAGGCAGGAGATGATGGGGGTCTGGATGAGAGTTTTAGTGGTATGGACAGAAAGGAAAGAGCAGATCTTAGTGATGCTGAAGAAGAAGAATCAGCAGGATTCTCTCCCATGGCCTAGATTCCAGTGTAGGGAGATGAAAGGGTAAGAGCCAGAGGTCCCCCAAGGGAGAGGGAGGAGATAGGGGTAGACAATGGCTGAGATGGAGGGGTAGGGAGGGAAGATCAGGAGCCCAGTTTTGGTCCTGTTGAGTTTAAATTGACAGTAAGACTTTCAGGAGAAAGCTGGGAGTGTTTAATTCAGCTTCCTGGCCTCTGCCCCTACTTTCACGGGGGCTGGACAGCAGCACCCTCATTTCATAGAGAAAGCATCTGACGCATGCAGAGGTAAAAGCCAACATTTCCAAGTGTTGGTGCCTAAAGGTGGGCAGCTCAATCCATGTTCAGTAGGGCTGTTGATTAATCACAGTTAACTCAGACGATTAATTAAAAAAAATTAATCCCGATTAATTGAAGTTTTAATCTCACTGTTAAACAATAGAATACCGGTTGAAATTTATTAAATATTTGGATGTTTTTCTACATTTTCATATGTATTGTATTCTGTGTTCTAATTGAAATCAGTGTATATTATTTGTTATTACAAATATTTGCATGTAAAAATGATAAACAAAACAAACAATTCAACAAAACAATTATTTTTCAATTCACCTCATACAAGTACTGTGATGCAGTCTCTTTGTCGTGAAAGTGCAACTTACAAATGTAGAATTTTTTGTTACATAACTACACTCAAAAACAAAACAATGTAAAACGTCAGGGCCTACAAGTCCACTCAGTCTTCTTGTTCAGCCAATCGCTAAGACAAACAAGTTTGTTTACTTTTATGGGAGATACTGCTACTCACTTCCTATTTACAATGTCACCAGAAAGTCAGAACAGGCATTTGCATGGGACTTTTGTAGCTGGCATTGCAAGGTATTTACGTGCCAGATATGCTAAATGTTTGTATGCCCCTTCATGCTTTAGCCACCATTCCAGAGGACATGCTTCCATGCTGATGACGCTCGTTTAAAAAAAAATTAATTAATTAGTTAGTTAATTAAATTTGTGACTGAACTCCTTGGCAGAGAATTGTATGTCCCTTGCTCTGTTTTACCTGCATTTTGCCATATATCTCATGTTATACCACTCTCGGATGATGACCCTGCACATGTTGTTCATTTTAAGAACACTTTCACTGCAGATTTGACAAAATGCAAAGAAGGTACCAATGTGAGATTTCTAAAGATAGCTACAGCACTTGACCCAAGGTTTAAGAATCTGAAGTGCCTTCCAAAATCTGAAAGGGATGAGGTGTGGAGCATGCTTTCAGAAGTCTTAAAAGAGCAATACTCCAATGCAGAAACTACAGAACCAGAACCACCAAAAAAGAAAATCAGCCTTCTGCTGGTGGCATGTGACTCACATGATGGAAATGAACATATGTCGGTCTGCACTGCTTTGGATCATTATCGAGCAGAACTCGTCATCAGCATGAACGCATGTCCTCTGGAATGGTAGTTGAAGCATCAAGGGACATATGAATCTTTAGCGCACCTGGCACATAAATATCTTGTGATGCTGGCTACAATGGTGCCATGAGAACGCCTGTTTTCACTTTCAGGTGAC